AAATATTTTTCTTATAAGTCACAGTATCACATTAGTGACATATTTTTTCATGTGCTTATTGGTCACTTGTATATTTTTTTTTTTGGAGAAATATCCATTTAAATATTTTGTCCATTTTCAAATTGGATTTTCTTTTCATAGTTGAGTCGTAAGAGTTCTTTATATATTCCGGATGTAAGTCCCTTATCTGATATTTGCAAATATTTTCTCCCATTTTGAGAGTTGCCTTTTATTTTCTTGATGGCACCATTGATAGCACAACGTTTTTAATTATAGTCCAATTTGTCCATATTTAATTTTGCCAATTGCGCCTTTGGTACTCTAAGGAACTTTTGCCAAACCCAAGCTCACAAAGGTTTATTTCTGTGTTCTTGCCTATGAATTTCATAGTTTTACATCTTATCTCTGGGTCAATGATCCATTTTGAGTTAATTTTTGTATATAGTTTGAGATAAGTTCCCAACATCAGTCCTTTGACATAGGTATATCCAATTATCCCAAAACCATTTGTAAAACTATTCTTTCTTCATTGAGAATGCTTGGTATTGGAAATCTTGTCAAAAATCCATTGATCATAAATAGAAGGGCCTATTTCTGTATTCTCAGTTGTATCCCATTGATCTACGTTTATCCTTGTGCTAATACCATTCTATCTTGATTTCTACAGCTTTGCAGGAGGGAAGGTAAGTCCTCCAACTTTATAATTCTTTATCAAGATCATTTGGCTATCCTTTAATTCCATATGAATTTTCCTATTAAATTGTCAATTTCTGCGAGGGGAGGGATTGGGGTCAAAATAAGGGGATTGTAATTGTATGGGGAATATAAAAATAAAATTTATTAAAAAAAAAAAAAAAGCCGCCGAGGATTTAGCTGACTTCTGCTGCCACCAAGTGGCAAGCGAGCTTATTGGCAAGGGAGATCTTGGTTGGCTGATCTTTTTGTAGAACAGAGGTTCTCAGGGGGGACACCTAGGGACAACACTGTATATTTTAATGATACTAATATATCTGCCCTTTCACTCATTTTCTCATTAGTACACAGTGGAGTTTTCCAAAGGCTGGGTATTGGCTTTAAACAAATGGAACTCAGTTGTCCATTTGTTTTACCAAGATCATTTGGCTATCCTTTGTATTTCCATATGAATTTTCCTATTAAATTGGCAATGTCTGCAAAAAAATAAAAGCTGCAGAAGATTTAGCTGACTTCTGCTGCCACCAAGTGGCAAGGGAGATATCACAAAACTGAAAGCAGAAGCAAACATGGGAATCCAAGCATCCTCTGTTTAAGCTAGACATTAGGAAGATAAGCAATTGTAAATCAGTGCAAATCTTCTCATTAATTGTTTTTTGTTTGGAAAGTGTAGTTGTTTTCATTAAAATATGTAAATGTATTAATGTGCAATGGCTTTATTTTACTAATTTAAATAAGTAGCAAAATTTTAAATTCTCAGTTTTCATTTTTGGTAAATGTTACAATCTACCCAAACAACAGTTCTTTGAAAGACTTAATATTTTCAGAGTGAAAGGGGCAGCTTGAGGGCTTCCATTGTAGGGTAATGGTTATGCTTGTTCTTTTTGGTGTGCCTAGGTATTGATGAAATCTGAACCTCAGCAAGTCTAGACTATAGACGCCAAAACTGGAACTTGACTTGGAATTCTGTTATCAGTTTTTCTCCCCACCCCCCAATTTTAACAAGGAATAATGGACAAATATAATCGTACATATTCAATATATATGATATGATTTGATATGCATATACATTGTGGGATGCTTATTAAGATCAAGATGACTAACACACCTACCACCTCATAGTTAACTTTGTGTGTGTGGTGACAATGCTTAAGATCAACTCTCAGGGCCTTCTCTGGTGGTGCAGGGGTTAAAAACAGCGCTATCATGCTATCAGTAGCCACTGCAGCATGAGTTTGATCCCAGGCCAGCCAGGGAGCAACCTACATGGCACAGCTGACCTCTCCTGCCTCACCTGCTGCTCCCCTCAGCAATGTCTTTCAGTAGATCTGCCTGTTCGGTTCCCCACTCTCCTTTTCTTGTATGCATAAAAAAATAAAATCTTAAAAAAAAAAAAGATCAACTCTCAGCAACTTTTAAGTTTACAACACTGCATTATTAGCTAGAGTTCAGCCTTTTTGGAAAACTAAGTTCAATTTGTTTAAAGCCATCCCTGATAACACAGAATCTGTGGCTGGTACAAAGCTTCCTGAGGGCAAGGTCTCTGCTAAGGTCACAATCACAGGGCACAGAGTCAGATTCAACACTGGTTTTTGTTTTGTTGTTTTGGTTGAATGAAAGAGAGAGGCTAGGCATGTTGGTTGAGGAAAACCCCTAAGTTATTGGTCTTAATTATTCCACAGGAGTGTCTTCTTCAAACAAAGGAAGAGGAAACAGGGGCAATTTCTGGCTTATCCTTCCCAGTTACTGGCTACTACCAGTTGAGTTGTGACCTTTTCCAGCTCAGGTGTTCTTCTGTAGGTGGTGCAGAAAGTGTGCTGCAGGATATATAACTAGCAGAGCCTGGCAAAACAGTCTCAACCCAGTTCAGTTGAGACTGGCCAGTGCAGCTGATAACAGTGAAAGCAGCTGAGCCAGTGAAAGCCTGAAGAGCAACTTCCCAGCATGGAAACTGGCTATGCAAAAAGATGTGCCTTAACTAAAAAAAATATAAAGCAATGTATACTCGGTAGAAAATGGGAACACTCTAGTTGTATACAAAGAAATCATCATCATCAAAATAAAAATTGAAAGACTTCTCCCAGTCCCACATGCCCAAATTAGGCACTAAGTTTGGTATGTATCCAGAATTTTCCAGTACTCCTATAATCACGCATATAATATACATATATTTTTTTAACAAGTGACGTCATATTTTATTCTGTCATTTCATTTTTGTACTTAGTATACTGACAACATAATATTTCCATTAGAATGTATGTTGATCTATCTCATTCTTTTTAGTGACAGTGGGATGTTACTCCAGAGTAAGGATACACCTCAGTCTATTTAACCTCCTTTCTTTTGGCTGACATCTAGATAGCTTCCATTATTACAAATAATTCTCAACACTGTTATGCTTCTATTTCATCCATAAATGTCAGCTTCCTTTATTCCAAACACTGCCTGTGATTGCTGCTGCACAGGACCTGGCAGGCGGAGAGTCAGGTGCCAGGAGGGGAGAAGGTGTACACATGTGCAGGCAGCACAAGGGGACACACAGTGCCACAGATGTATGTGTGAGAGGGCCTGGGAGCCTCTGGGTGGAGGGAGAAGCAAAGAAGTCATGACTGGGTCTTGGAGAACAGGAAGCATTTATGTCCCGAAGATGAAGTTCAAGATGTCCAGACTGAAGGAAAGCTCAGAGGTAGGAAAGTCTGGGGGGTGTTGGGCAGACAGGAGCTGGACCAGTGAGTTTGTTAGATAGCTGTCATTGCTTCAACAAACATTTGAAGGCCCATTTTATGTCAGCATTGGATGGGATGGGGAAAAATGGTCAGAGCTTAGGGTTGGAGCAGAGGGAGGTGAGAATGGAAGAACATAATTCTCCGATGGGGATTATGGAAGTTGCAACTGTGATTAGAGACTCCATGTGTTTTTGTTCCAAGGACTCTATGGTTTGTATATGAAATGATCAACATTGCCGCTTGTGATGTTCTCTGAATTGGACAGCAGGGGGCAGTGTAGACTCAGGAAGATTATGGAGCTGACAATTCAAGTTCTCAGCAGCTCTGGCACATTGGCACCTCAGTTTCATCATCTATAAAATGGGTTAACAATGCCTTTCTCTGCTTACCTCCTCCTGTCATGGAGAATCACCAAGATCATCAGGAAAGCCTGGGTAGGGTTCTGACCCTTGAAGAAGGTTGTTGGATCTCAGCCTTATCAGGAACATCCAGCAGAAGACCTCAGCTGGCCTTCTGAAAAACAGCACTACCTCCAAACAAACTGGGCAACCAGGACCAACACCAGGAAATAGCCTATATGAGGCAAACAAGAAACACGTTCTAGAACATGTTATAGAAAGGACCTCAGGTTCATCCAAGAATGGATTAGATGCCACTGAACTTTCTTCCCCAGGACCCACAGTCCCTGCCCAGGTCCAGGGATGCTGAGTGGATGTGCAGATCCTCTGTCCTGCCAGTAGAACTGTCTCTAATGTGCTAAAATTGAAGTGCCACTGGGGGCCTTCAGGCTGTCCCTGACACCGAAGACCTGCATATCTCAGTGCTCAGCAAATGCATGATGACTGAAAGAGTGAGTGGACACTGCATGGCTGAAGGGATGGAGACCTCAGACCAGACTACTCAGGAGACCCTACAAAGGCAGAGTTGTGAAGCAGAAAGATCAAAGAGTGCACACCAAGGGTTTTACTTCAAGGAAGAACTAACCCTTTGCAACTGTCACAGGTTAAAGTGATGAGTCTGGACACTTTCAGCTTGACTGTGCCAGAGCTATGTCTTGGTGTTGAATCTATTATGGGGATTTTCAAAGACAGGATCCAAATTATTCAAGGAAGCATGGAGAAATCAAGAAAAGGGGGAAAAAGAAACTAAGGACATTTTCTCCACCAGGATTTAAGCCAGGGATGGCAAAGAGATTCATCTGTTTGCCATTTCTGACTGGCTGGTGGTGGCTGCCCAAGGCATGCTGCTGAATATTCTGTGGCCATATTCAGTTCACCCAGATGTGTGAGAGGGGCTGGAAGCCTCTGGGGGGGAGGTAAAGCAAGGAAGTCATGACTGGGCCTTGGAGAACGGAGCATTTATGTCCCGAAGACGAAGTTCAAGGTATCCAGACTGAAGGAAAGCACAGAGGTAGGAAAGTCTGGGGGGTATTGGGCACCAAATGGGAGCAAGCACCAAAGTGGGAGTACTGCTGTGGACACATGTCACATAACAGCCAAACAACAATAGTCTCCCCACGTGGTTGTGGTGAGAATAAAATTCAGAATAATGACATTATCCTGGAAGGCAGACTGTGGACAAAGTATTTTATTTTGTTTTTATTCTTCCTGTAAGAAGAAGGCCCAGAGGATGCCCACCTCACTGGCCCAAACTCTGCAGGGCTTTGTCAGCACGTGCAGTGCTCAGAGTGGGGAGCACTCCTACACCCCTTCCTCTCCATTCCTTGTCCTTTGACCACTGTGCCCTCACCTGCCCAACTCAGGCAGCTGGAAAAAGAAAAGGAGACTGCCACCCACAGTTCCTCTCCTTTGCTGTGCAGACTGGGTCCTCTCTGGACTGGCAACACTCTGGGGTCTAAATAGAGGAGGAAACGAGGTGTTCACGTCTCCTGGAAGCCAGGCAGAAACATCTGATACAGAAATGACCTGATTTTCAATGTTTTTATTGGGAAACTTAGAGGGCTCTTCAGCTCCTCCAGGAATTCCCAGTGACTTCACAGCAGTTGTGGGAGGTGGAGCAGGGTCTGTTTTGTCCTGCTTTGTACCAGGTGCCAGGAAGGATCTGAAATAGATGGTGATGGATCAGCAGTCCACTGCTTCCTCCCAAGGCAGCTGCCCAGCACCCAGCAAGGGGGTGAGGGATAGATCACTTGCAATTGGGAAAGAAAGGATTCCGAGGTCAATGTGATTGGCAGAGGGCCCGCCAGGCGGGAAGTCCTTCATTCTTCTCCTTTTTATTTTTATTTTTTAAAAAGTAGCTTTGCCTGCTTTCTCTTCAGTAAATTCACTGCCATGGGTTCTGGAGACTCCATTGTCGGCATCAACCTGTGGTGGAGTGAGGTCCTGGTCAGGTAACACCAGCCCTGGTCAGATGACAGTGGCTTTAGGGAAAAAGGAGGAAAGATAAGAAATTTATCTAACTGGGTTTATCAGTCAGCAAGATCTAGTGGCCAAACAACCCACTAGGGGTCTGATTTTTTTATGAAGCAGTAATTGGTAGAGCAATAACTTGTGAAGTATTGCCACAACATCAGATTGGTATATGGCCAAGAGGTTGTGGGGTTTTTTGTGAATATTAAAAAAAGAAGAACATTTCCTTTCTGTGAAAATGAATTTTCCTGAAATTGAGAGTAGGCCAATGAGGTTTGGAGAATTAATGTCATGGCAGGGGGCAACCCAGCATTATTCCAGGAAGGTTCTGGTGGCAATGGATCCTGGTGGGCAGGTCCGAATGGTACAGTTGGATTCACAGGCCTCAGACAAACCTAAGAGCTGACTTAGGTCCCCTTGGTTGGGACCCCATGTCTGATTCTGGGTTTCGTGATGTAAACAGATAAAACTAACCACATGACAAGATAACCACCTCTCATGTTGTTGATTGGGTTTCAAATGGGTCACTCATATATGTGGTTTGGGAGAGAAATAACTGAACAGATGAAAGAAAAGGAAGTGCTTGTCCTCCAGGGGACATTATGGAAGATTTTGTGTCAGGAGGCTGGCGCTGCTTGGATCAGACTCGATTTCCTGCAGGCACTCAGAAGCAATTCCATGCCATTCCCACCGCCTGCACCCAGGACTCATTAGCTAGTCCCTGCCTGCCCTTTAGGGCCACAGGACTCCCTGCTTCTCTGCTATACATCATCTCACGCTGTCCTTAGTCTAGACTATGAGGAAAGCACTGATCTCCCCAGCTTCAAAGAGTGGATGTTACTGCTGCCCAGATCATGACTCAGACTACTGGATAAATTCAGATCCAGGACTTGTTGGGGTCTTGGTGTTCTTGGTTAGAGCAGGAAGTTGAACACCTTAGGTAAGCCTTGTTCAAGATGAGGCTCCAGAAAAGTCTCTAGGAAAACGTCTGTCCTCTTCCATCTGGGAGGTACCAGCTTTCTTCCCCACCCCAGCAGAAGAAAGGCAGACACACACCCAGTCCTTGCACAAGAGCACTTTCAGGAAGAAAGGCTTCCAGTTGGGGTGGACTGAAAGGCCAAATCCAGGACAATCATGATTTGACTTGCTGGAAACTTCTTCCTTCCTGCGGGGGTAGCCAATCACCAGGGTGGTCACAAGTGGCCAGTGTGACAGCCTAGGCAAGCGTCCAGCCACGCTGGGATCTGCCAGGTCTTGGCATTGAAACTACCTTGCAACTGAAGATTTAATGACATGGAAAAATGATCCTGAACAACTGAATAGGAAGAGTGGGTTATAAAGCAGAGTGGGTGTAAAGTAGGATCCTATTTTAGGAAACACATAAAAAAACACTCGAAAGAATCACATAGCTAGGTCTTTGGATTATAGGTATTAAAATTTTGTTCCTTCTGTTTGTTTTCTATAATAAAATGCATTGGTTATATTAGAGGATTTTAAAAATCACTTTCATCTGCTAAAAGGGGAAAGTGGCCAATATCTGAGTACAGCTTTAAGAATAAGGAAGACTTCTCTTCCCTGCTCTGAACATAACCCAAATATAGTAACTCTTTACCCAAGACAGTTAATTATGCAAAATGCATTATAACCCCTTTCCTTTTATGAGAGGGCAAAAAGCCAGGAAAGCTGTGAATGTGGGTAGTTTAGTAAAAAGCTAAAAGCATTTGATATAAAGCCAGCTTCTAGGCCTTGTCCTGGGCCCACTCACACAGCCTGATCCATTGTGTCCTTCCGCTGCGTGTAGGCTCTGGCCCCATCGTGCATTCTTGCAGGGCTCTGCTGCCGCAGGGGAGGCAGAAGGGAGTTTTCTAAACCTTCTTGACAAAGACCATCCTTCTTGAGAGGATCTGCAGTCACCAAGGCCAAAGTGAAATGATTCCCGACTGACCAGATAATTTAGTGACTTGCCCCTTGTCTTCTGAGCTCTGCAGATAACCCCTGCAGAGGTCAGAGAAGGAGAAACAGGGAGAAAAAGAAGAGGAGGAACTGAGGCCATGTGGAGGATGATTGTCCATCCACTCAATCACTCAATGACGTTTCCGAGTGGTCATTCGTGTGCCAGGCTCTGTGCGAGACATCAGCCATACAGAAATGAAAAAATAGTTGGGGCTCTCCTGGGACTTTCACACTAATTGGAGAGTGAGAAAAGCTGTCAGTTTATCATGCAGCGGGACGTGGTAGGGGATGAGTGGGAACTCTGGGAAAGAATCAACAGCAGGTACAACTCCTCCCAGCAGAGGCATCACGGCAGGCTTCCTGGAGGAAGAGGCATCTAGACCAGGGCCTGGATAACAAAGAGGAGTTGTTGAAGCTAAGGTCCAAGGAGAAAGAAGGGAAAGGAGAGGGCATCAGACAGGAACAGCATGACTAAAGACTCAAAGACAAGAGAGGATGGTATGTTTAGGACTGTGGATTTGGATGAGGCTGTTAAGAACTCACGCTTTACCTAGAGGGTAGTGAGAGCCATTGGGGCATTTAAAGAAGGGAGTCATTTTGCTCAAAATTTTTTTTAGATCACCTGGTCTCAGTGATCTTTCTGCAATGAGAAAGAGGAAAAGGGGAGTGGCGGGAGCTAGGGGGCAAGGGTGGAGGCCCCCTTTTGGAAGCCTGTTGGTACCTCTTGGACCATGAGTTTGGAACAGTGGTGGGGAGAATGTACACATGTGACCAAGGGTAGGCACCCCGGTTCAAGACCTCACTCCTGAGCCTGGGTCATTGAATGTGGACGGTGAAGCTAACTGCACATCTGTTCAGTTGTGGAAGCTGTTGAATGAAAGAACAGATGGGTGAGCTTTCTACAAACAGGTAAATTCTGTGCCCAGCTTCCCACCAGTCACAGGTGGGCATCTCTGAAGGGCTTTTTGATGGTGAGAAGAGAGGCAATTTCAAAGAGACAACACAGATTAGAAAGGGATACATAAGGGCAGCATTTGAGAAGCACACAAAGGAAGAGAATTGCAAGCTCCAGCTAGCTGGAGGAAGAACACTGACCTGGCACTCAGGGGCTGGTCACCGCGTGGTCCCTGCGGAAGGCCTGCAGCGAGAGCTCGTACCCCAGGAACATGGCTGCACTCATAGGGAAACCCCGGACAGTGTTTACGGCGATGCCCCTGAAAAACACCTTCCACAGGAGGCAGGTTATCATGCGGGACTGAGCTGCACCTTCTGTGGGGCCAGCATTGAAGGGCAAAGTAAGGGCTGGTGGGGCTGCCCACTCAGACCCCCTGTTCCAGGCTGGACCCCGCAGATCCCAAAGGGCTGTGCAGGCCACAACCACCTACCTGTATGCCCCATTCACACCCAAAAGCACTTGTCCTCCCAGGCCTGGTATACATACTCTAAAAGCTACTGGGAAACTGCTGAGCCCCAGGATCACCATGAACTCTCACTTAATTGCTGCTCTCTCTTACATACATGCACATGCACATGCACACGCACACATACCCCCACACCCTCACACGATTCTTAGGGAGCTGGCACTCTGAGCTCATCATTGCACTCACTCTGCAACAGTAGAGAGGACACCCAGGCAAGACAAGGCATTGTGAGAGGTGCTCCAGAGGACGCCCCAAGGGGCAGAGTTGGGGAGAGCTCAGGTCATGCTTACTACTGCAGACATGGAGTTGAGGGACAGCTTTGCCGTTCAGTGTCATGTCACTTGGGCAAATGGCAAAGTTTCTGGAACTAAATTTTCCCTAGTGTAAAATGGGGAGAATAGATTACTGACCCGATCAGTAATTTTGTCTGTCACTCAAACCGTCCACCCCTACTGGGGCTAGGGCTGCCCCCAAGCTCACCAAGGCTCTTCTCGTCTCTCCCCAACCAAGCTGCATCTCCCAGGCTGCCACGCAGCACCAAGATGCAGGCTCCTCTGCTCTCCTAAGGAAGGTCACCGGGCATCCTGGCCAGTGACAGCCGTGGGGACCAGTGAGAGGATACTGCCAAAGCACTCACAATGCTGCCACATCCCCAGACTCACTGACAGCTGACAGCCATCATCGGCATCCTAGTTACCAACGGCCATCACTTTACACAGAGCAGCCCTCCACCTCATCCTCGCCGTCAGTGCTGAGGCAGGTATAGTGACGAGCTGCTAATCTCAACCTTTAAGACTCCAGGAGCCTGTACTTTTCTTCCCTCCCTGGAGAATATGATAAGAGGCTTCCCTTTCTCCCTGAATCTACCTGCCTGGTGCTGGGTAGACACTGATCAAAGTGATGTGGTTCCAGCCCTTGCACAGTGTAAAATCTACTAGAGGAGATAAGCCCCATTTTGGAAAAATTACAATATAACTTAGAGCATAATGAAACCAGACATAGGCTCTCTGTTCTAGGAAATGACAACAGCTACAGGCAAATCCCTATGGAGGCATAAATGACTGAAAACTGTCAGCTGGAAGGGCTGAAGTTGCTACCTGATTCTGTATGAAATAGAAATACTAACTTCATGAAATAGAACCACTCCTATCATTTTAAGAAAGTAGAAATCTAGGCTGTGGCATTTTCCCGTTTCCATGGTGGTCAGGCACTGGTGCTGTCAGGGCGGGTATTGGCCACCGCTATCACTTGCCAGGATGCCCGGTGACCTTCTTTCAGGAGAGGAGAGGAGCTTGCTTCTTGGCTCTGTGTGGCAGCCTGAGAGATGCAGGTTGGTTAGGGAGGGCAGAGAAGGACCCTGGTGAACTTGGGGCAGCCCTAGCCTCAGTGGGGGTAGGTGGTTGGATCATCAGAGGTGAGCCAGTGGCTCAGGCCAAGCCTGCAGCAAGTCAGGCAGGGGGGCAAGTGGGATCCTTGTAATATTAACACTCCTCTCTAAAGGCTAACCTTTCTGAAATTCCACGGGCTCACCCAGAGTGACTGAATAACAAGGAACTGGGTCAGGCTCCAAGAGGGAAGTTCCATGGTGGGTGCCCACAGAAGCTCCCTGAGAACCTGGGCTTGACTCTGTGAGGCTGAGTCAGACAGGCCCCAGCATGGAGTTTGAGTCTCCTTCCCCACAGTGCCGGGCTCTACAGGAGCTGTGGACACTTCAGACAGACACACATTACCCCGCCAGCAGCAGTGGCCTGCTCTGTGATGACAAAGGCGGCAAATACAGTGCAGACCTGTGACTCCTTACCTGCCCGGCCCCTCCAGGCCCAGAGCTTTCAGAACACAAAACCCCGAGGCAGAGTCACTCCTCATGAAGTTTCAGTGCTTCCCCACTGCCTGGGTCCAGTCCAAACCCTTTCTTGGCCTGCAGAACCCTGAGCTCTGGCCCTGAATTTTCTCTGGGGAGGCTAAAGCTGACACTACAGGGAGACCATGACATGTCATTCCCCTATGGGCTGGCTCTCTCCCTCCTTGGTCCTCTGCTGGAATGCGCCCAGCACCCTCTGGCAGTACCCCCCTGGCCACCTTGTTGAATTGTAAGCCACAGCCTTTTGTGCACTCAGTATCTGTGCCATAGCACCTCTCAGACTGTCCTGCAATCTTGACTTGCCTGTCCTCCCACTAACGATCCCAATCGGGGTAGTGAGAGGTCACTGTGCTTGGCTTAGAGGACCCACTATAACTCTTATGTGAATCAATGGAGGATGGGTGGGTGGTTGGATGGATGGGTGAGTGAATGAATAGATGGATGAACTTCTTGATGTGAAAAAGGAACAAACAGTCTCTAAGGTGAAAGACTTTTGTGGTGCTTGTGGAAGTGGGGGATTCCAGAAGCGGAGGGCAGGCTGCAGACCCCCAAGTGGCAGAAACTAAGAACAACCAGCCCCAGTGACTCAGGAAGTTGGTCCACCTACAAAAAATCATCTCTCGTTTCTCCTTGGAATTGCCCAATCCCATCCCACTATCATAAACCCCTCGTGAGTCATCTGTGGTGCTCAAGGACACCAAGTCCCTTCTCCAGTGATTGCTTTGAGTAAAAAGTAGGGAACTTATTTCAGATGCTAACTTTCCAGGAGCCATGGCCCAAGACGATCCTCACAGCAGGCACAGAACGGACCCCAAACTACTAGGCCCTTTTGTTGTGACTTGGGATTGCACCTAAGTCCATGGACTTCTAATTTCCCCTCATCATGGCCACTTTACTGGCAATCATTAAGTGGATTACAAATAGCTACTAAAATTCACTCATCATCATTTTAGTCCTCTCCCATTCTTTACTCACTGAGTTATTCCAAAGGAAAATGGGCACAGGTGGCTCGGGGTTTTGTACCCCACCTCAGTGAGCTGCATAAACACTGTCTGGGAATGGGTACTACAGAGAGCCACTGCCCAAGCCAACTGGGACTGGAGCCATCCCTCAGGCCTTGGGAAAAGTTCCTCCTCTTTCTCCTCCTGCTGATGCTGGAAATCTGACTATAAGAGGACCTAGTTCCCCAGGGCTGTGTGGGACTTTTTCCCCCCATGTTACTCTCATACATAAATGTACATACACAATAAATGCCTGCACAAGCTATGGGTATTTTTGTTACATATCACAAGAAAATCACAACAGTGATTACTGTGGAGACCACAGCAGGGAAATAAATTTACATGGAGTTGTACTTATAAGTTTCTGAAGCTTCCTATGTTCATATACTATTTTTTAACTAATTAAAAGTTCAAAAACTTAAACCTCAGTGAGTGAGGTTGTTAATTGAGCTGAATATTTCTATCTCGACTTAAAACCTGTCTCTGAATAGAAACTATGGACCAACTGCTATGAGGTTAAGAAATCAATTGTCTGGCCTCAGTTGCCTTCTAAGACTTAGTTTTTTTTTTATAGTATATGGTCATTTTTTACGGACTTAATATCAACAATGTATCTTGCCCCTACAGACTTTGTATATTCATGACATATAAACATTTTTGGAGATAGATCAAAATATCTCAAATAAAAACACAATGTCCTGTTCAAATCTCTCTTATATTATGTCTCTCTGTAAACTGCACTTCTGCTAAAAAAAAAAAAAGACAATTGAGGTGAGAATTCTAGAAAGATGGCAGAGTAGAAAATCTCTCTCATTTCTCTCCTTCCCTTTACCTGGACAACAATTACCCTGGCAGAATCTATGTGAGGTGGCTAATTTGGAATTCTGGAGTTTACCAAAGATTTGCAATTTCCAGAGGCAGGTGTAGAGAGTAAATTGTGATTAATTTCTGTCCATTTTAGCTCTTAGCACAGAGCAGCTACCCACCCACTGGCCCTGGCCCTGTGGCAGGCAGCTGGGCCCATGTTCCTAGAACAACTGTGGGAGTCAGGATGATGAAAGTGACCCTGTCCTCAAAATACTGGAGATCTGTGTTCTGATCACTGATTGCTGTTGCTGATTACACAGGTGAAAAGAGGAGGAAGGCCATTGTCACCTCACTTCTCCCCACTGATGCCACCCCTTTCCCCCTGGAGAAAGTGAAGAATCCTATGTGCAGATAAACTAGCCCTCAAGGGTGAGGGGAAAATGAAGACATGCCCAGATAAACAAGACCTACGCTGCCGGGATGCTCAAAGGAGTCCTGAAGCTGAAATGAAATGACACTGGACAGTAACTTGGAGCTGCAGGAAGAAATAGTCTCCATAAAAGGAAACCCAGGGGGGAGGAGTGACATTAGATCGTGGCAGCATAAGACGTCCCTTGTTTTGTCTCTATCTCAGCACAAAAAGAGGCATCCATTCATGAATAAAGCACCTCTGAGGGGGTTGGGAGATCCAGCATCATATGCCAAGGGATTGGACTCGAGGGGAGCCTCAGCCACCTGTGCATCAGGCAACAGATGGATGGACCCCAGCAGTGGCTGTGGACTCTGCAGTAGACTGTGAGCGGCCCCAGGCCCCCTTGGCCAACTCTTTTGAGCCAGGCCAAGAAAGCCAGGGTCCCTTACATGGAAGGGTTGGGATGCTGGTGTCACTGAAGAGAGCAGGGGGTATCATGGGGCAGATAGGGATGCATTCGTTAAGGACCTTGCACACCGCACATAGGAATCTGGCCACATGCTGGTATAGTTTAGAGGCAGGAAGGGGCTTGTGTTTCAGAAGAGCAGGGAAGAGGAGGAGAAGGCCACAGGCCAGGTTGGAGGCTGCCTCAGTGGCTGAGACCAGAGGTGATGGGCTGTGGACTAGGGTGGGATGGGAGAGCAGAAGACAGGTCAGGAAGCTGAAACGAGTGAGCTGTGATAACTGAGGGACAGGAAGGGGTCAAGGCGGCTCTGGGACTGTCCACGGGGAGGAGGCAGGAACTCAGCCTATCTTGACAAGAAGGCAAGCTTTGGCGACAGGCAGATATGGTTCCAGGTCCTTGCTCAGCCAGTTACAAACGTGATCTCGGGGGCAGGCTATCAGGCCCCTGTGAACCTGTGAGGCGGCGCGCACCCATGTTGTCCACCAGCACAGCGCGAGGACTGGCCGAGTCTCCCATCGCTGCTTGATAAAAGCTAACCACAAGAAGCTTGGTTTTCTATTCCCTCAGGTGTCTGACCCACCTTCCAGGGACTGACACTGACCCCGCACGATCTCTGGGGGGCTTACTTTAAGACCTTCCTTCTGGTAACTCTGGGAGATACAGTCCAGGACGCCTTTGTATTTGTTTAAATAAACCCCGTCAGCTTGGAGTCGACTTTTCATGACATCCATAGGAGTTGATGCCGCCCAAGAAATTGCTCCTGTAAAGAGAGAGACAAACAGATGTCAGGGCTGGCTGGCTGGGATCTAGAGGACACCTGGCTTCCTGGGGATTTCCACTCTGTAAGTCGCTGGAAAAGCAGAAAGCACTCAGGGGCAAGGCATGTAAAGACTGTTCCTGATCCTCCCTTGTCTGTGCAAAAGTATCCTGACTTCCTTAGGTCTTGGGCCTTTCATTTGTAAAAAAGAGCAGCTGTAGCTGCCTTCATGGGGCTGCTGTGAGGATGTACAGACCAAGGCATGCGACTCAGAGGAGTGCCAGCTGCATAGCCAGTGCCTCATACGTGGAAGGGGTCCTGAGCAAATTTTATTGGAGAAACAGGGATAGGCCCCCACCAGTACTTTGCATTCTTTCTGGGGCAACCAGCAGAGAGACTAGGGTGATGCCTGAGGCTGAAGGTTCCTGGAGGCAGGATTTACTCTCACCACACTTGCACCCAAGCTGCTCCCTCAGGAAGAGCCCAGTCTTGGGACTGCAGGGAAGAACAGGCCACATCTTTAAAAATCTCTCATCTTTTCCAAATAAGTGAAATGGAAGCCTTAGAACCACACCACTGGGTCACCCACGTTGGATAAGCTCAGGTGCCCTTGTTTTAGCGCTTTTGTGCTCAGCCAATAATAACCAGATTATTGTGTAAACATAGAAATTGGCACATTCCTCGGGAGAGAAAAACAAACAGATGCCAAAGTCCAGGGCAGTTGTTTGCAAGGTTTTATCATTGTTCCCAAAAGAGACTCACCCTGCACGGAGCACCCTGCCCAACCAGGCTGCCTGCCCTCCCCCCTCCCCCCTGAAACCTCCTGCCCCTGGCTCCCTGGGAGCCCCTGTGGCCCTGCCCTGCCTGCTGCCCGCTGCCAGGATAATGGGCCACTTTCCCTGGAATTGGCGCAGGTGCTGACCTGGCACACTCTCCTACCCCTCAGTCCGTGGGCAAGGATATTAAAGAAAGAAGTTTACCGGCCAGAAACACCTGCTCACCAGAAGTAAGAGCAGTTGGGGCCTTGTTTCCTTTCTCAACCAAAACACTTAGGGGACACCTATCAGGAGCCAGGTATGGGCAAGTCCTCAGACACATGGGGACACAGTGAGAACACTTTGTTGGCTAAGCCATGGGCCTGGTAACATGTTAGCTGAATTTCAAGTGTGGTTAATTGTGATGATAAGAAGGAGGAATGACAATTTTCTTCTCTCCAGTGGATCTTTCCTGTCAGAATCAAAGATGCCATGGGATCAGTCTTCTTAAAAAGCAATCCTCTCTTGACTCCTTAACCCCTCTGGCTATACTTGCGTTTCTCTCTTCCCCATGAAAGCACAGAAAAATCCCTCAGAAGGGTTGTAAGTATCTGGACTCCCTAACTTCTTTCATCCCATTATCTCTTGATCCCATTTCAATCAAATTCCCATGCTTCTCTCCACCCAAATGGGTCTTGTCAAAGTCCCCAATGACTTGTACTGATATAATATTAAATCTAAGTGGTAAGAACAGCAAGTGCAAAGGCCCTGCGGTGGGAAGAGCCAGGCCCAAATAAGCAGCAGAGACCAGTGCAGCTAGAGCAGGGCAAGAAAGGGAACAGGAGTAGAAAATGAAGTTAGAAGGCTACAGGCAGCCAGATCACAGAGGGCCTTGATAACCATTGTGAAGACATTGACTTTTACTCTAAATGCAATGGGGATGCAGCATGGGGCTGACTTCACAGGCTAAGTAACCAGTCCATGGCCAAGAAATGACTAAGTGTATATTTGAGCTTGGTTCTCTCCCTGTGTACACTAGCTATGTGACTCCACTTCTCTGAACCTGCATTTTCTCATCTGCAAAACAGGGAAATTGATTTCTATCTTATGGAGCTCATGAAATCCTCACACTAGAAAGATACGCTGTGTGCCAATATTCAAAAAGGTAAACGTGATAACAGGTTTCCTTTTCAAAGCTCAGTAATACCTGACACAGGGTAAGTGCTCCAGATATACCTCTGACTGAAAGTTGAATGAATGCAAATAGGGACTTGCTATCCCCACGGCTCCAGAGGGAAGGGAATATGAGAAAGAAGGGGGACCATTCCCCATTCCTAGCCTTTCCTCTGCCTGCTTAGGTCTGGCACATGGTAGGTACTTAACCAGGAATTGGTGGATGAATCCTGTCATCCCTGGGGCTGAGAAGGGCCTGGTAGGCTCCCCAGTTGTCCCACTACAGTGGCCACACAGACGGGGATAAGCTGCTGCCGCACTTACCTGCCATGCCGCCTGCCAGCCACACGGCACAGGGGCTGGGGCCTGCGCAGGCCTCGGGTGTGATCCACTCATTCAGGAACACATAAGGGATGAAGTAGAGGCAATAGCCTGGGACATCCCTCAGCAGCATGGCGCCGGCGCCCCGGTACATTCCCAACAGACCCTCAGTGCGCACAATGGTTGCAATGCAGTGCACAGGCCCCTGGTAGGCTGGCTGTTCCCCAAGGGCTGCTGCCCTGGGCTTCAAACCAACATTGGCTGCAAAGGCGGGGGGAGAAGATAGCAGGTTACTCAGGGACAGTAAACTGGCCATTCTTTAGCACGGGAGGCAGCCCAGTTCATTGACAGCTCCTGCTCACGTGACCCATCAGTTTTTTTTTTTTTACCAGACTTGACCTTTTTGGCAGCTCACACTGGGATTCTGAAGTCCCAGCAGGGAATCCCTGCCAGCATCCAGCATCTGCAGCCAGATTGGAGAAAATCCCAGCCGGGTGATAATGTACCAGTTGCCTTACAATGCCCAGAGTATTCTGCTTAATCATCATGATGTCTTTTTAAGCAGATGTGAGTGCAGAACACTCAGGCTCAAATCTAACAAGACATACCAAGCTCTTTCTTGGAAGCAGAGGCTGGAAAAGCCACTTCTACCGTGTGTGTGTGTGTGTGTGTGTGTGTCTATGTGTCTGTGTTCTTGTGCACAGTGTGTTAGAAGCATATGAGAGTTGAACCCACACTGTCCTGACTCTAATTCCCAGTCCCATCACTTAATAAATTTTTTGATATGCGTAGACTGACTGTTTCCAGGCTTTGTTTCCTTACTTTTAAAAAGAGGTCAAGTCAATACCATACTGTATACTTGAAAGTTGCTAATAAGAGAGTAGCTCTTAAAAAGTTCTCATCACACACAAAAATGAAAATGGCAACCGTGAGAGGTGAAAGATGTGTTAACTGAACTTATTTCATGATGCACACATATATTAAATCATCACATCATAAACCTTTAACTTACAGAATATTATATTTTAACAAAGCTGGAAAATATTTTTAAAAAATTTAAAGAGAGTAGTATAAGTAAAGTAACAGAATGCTCGTTCCCACGCCATGAACATTAGGTATTATGAGTTACTACAGATTATTACAGAGATGAGGTGATTGGCATGAATTGGGTGCAGGACCTGATGGTTGAAGAACTGTGCACTGACTCACTTCCAGCCCTGGGCTGGAAGTTTTGTGCCCCCAAAGCAGCTGTAGGGTAGCACCCTTAGGCCCTGGAATCCGAGGGTGCAAAGTTGCTTGTGTGTCTCTGCTGGCAGATCACTGGTTGTTATGTCTCCAGTTTCTTTTAGAGCTGTGCCAGCAAGCAGCAACTTTCTCTCCTTCAATTCTCCTGCCTGGCTTTGCCCCAACCCCACCACAGTCTCTCTCTCTGATGCCCATCTCCTCTGCTAAGAACCCTGGAGCACGGCTTTGCCCAGTGGTCAGAATTTCAGTTGCAGCATAGATAAAGCAGACTCTTATTCTTGATTTTCCCTTCTTGAAGAACTAACCTGTCATGATCAGGAAAGGGAGAGGATAAAGAAGCTTTGCCTGGGCCTGCGTGCTCATGTGGCTACGTGGGTATAAATCCCTGTTGATAGCATCCTGGTGGTTTTACACACACTGGCAGAGAGGCAGGCCACTTTCATTCTATAGTGAACTTCCTTTTTTTTTTTTAAGGATTTATTTATTTATACAAGGACCAGGGTACAGGCCAGATGCACGGGAGGTGAGAGGATTCACCGGAGACAGAGCGGGGAACAGAACAGGCAGACTGACAAAATACACTGCTGAGGGGAGCAGTGGGCAAGGCAGGAGAGGTCTGCTGCACCATGTGGGATTCTCGCCTGCCGGCCAGGATCAAACCCACACTACAGAGGCTGCAGACAGCCCCACAATATGGCACTCAACTGCCTGCACCACCAGGGAGGCCCTACAGATGAACTTCTAAGTGCCCCCCATGGTCCCATCTTTACCATGAAAAGTTAGGATAAAACATTGCATTCATGATTCCACAGTCCAAACTGGAGATCTGAGATTAAAGAACAGCCTGCACTCTTAGTCAGCCCAGAAGTAGGTAAGATCAAAGAGGCTTCTATGCACCTAGGAAGTATGTTTGAGCAAACTCATCCTGTATTTTTGTGTATGTGTGGGGAGTGTGTAACCACTGCTGTCCACATTTGGCCAACAGCAGCATGTGTAGGAGGCAGAGTCCCATTCACCACTGCAGCAGATCCCACAGAAAGCAAGCAGGGTGGAGGCAACGTTGGGAGAAGAGTCTCCTGAGCTCAGAGCAAGATGAGATACTGTGGCGTTTGAAAGTCCGCCGAGAGGTCACTGGACACTTATTTATCCCCCGGGATCACGCAGGGAAATTTGGGGCATTAGACAAAATAGAGGCGATTGTTTCAACATAAAGACTTGGCCAAATAACAGTGGTCTAAGCCAGAAGTCAAGGTTTTCAAGGTTTTCAGCTCTGTGTAGGATGTGACTTTCAGGAGTCACTGGTTGAAGGAGGGTGTCCTGATAACGTTCTGCTTGTTTGGAGATGCAGATGCTGGAAAATTACTTGTCCACCCTCTGACTGGCTTCGTCAACAGAAAACCTAAGGTGCGCAATAAGGAAATTCACTGGCTTCCTACCAGGTTTTAAACAAGCAATCTAGCCTTTATTGCTTGAGAATGATCCATTTATGACTATTAAAGCAATATAATTGTCATGGAGACTGCCATCACTAACACGACTCTGAACTGGCTGCTCAGTGAATTCGGTGTACAAGTTTAACTATGAAATCCTTGGAGCTCCTTCCATCGGCCTCATCCCCAGCACAAAAAAAAAAAAAAAACAAAAAACAAAAAAAACAAAAACACCCCACATTCTTATTTGGAAATAATTTTAAAAAATTTTAAACAGAATATTACACAAAGAATACCCCTAGAGGTCCTTTACCCAAATTTACTATTGCTAACATTTTACCTTGTTTGTTTTATGGTTTTCCTCCCTCCCAAACTCACATGTTTGTCTTGCTCAAACATATGAGTGCAGTTAAACTGAGCAGATGCCATTGTCCTAAAGCATAAACTTGGCCTGGGCCACCTTCATCTCCAGGTAACAGTGACTTGACCTGGAGTCAAGGTCTGGATGAATCAGCTATGGTTATGATGTGGCTTTCAGCAGTTACTGATAGAGGGAGTATGTCTGATAAAAGCTTCCTTGTTTGGAGGTGCTGATATTCAAAAAACATTTGCCAAACCTTGAACTGGCCTTGCCAACAAGAGCCAAACCAGAACCAAACCTGTACTTGTCTTTTTTTTTTCCCCCAAGGTAAGCAGCAGGGAATTTTTGTGCACGTATACACATATTTTTTTTTGCACACGAACAATACAAAATGGTCCTTAACTTCTAAAGACTTCAGTTGTATTTCTTGAGTGGAACTGCCTTATATACCATGGCATGATTATCATTTCATAATCTACACTGATGAGACTTTAACTGATGTACAATCTACACTCAACCTAATAATGCCCTTTGTAGTATCTCCTTCCTATTCACACCTTCCCCTACACCCCTCACTGCCTGCCCCTGGAACAGGATCCAGTCATAGACCTGGTATAGCATTTAGTTATAAGGTCTCTTTAACTGCCTTTAAGCTGGAGCATTTCCTCAATCTTTCTTTGTTTGCTAAGACATTGACATTTTTTTAAGAGTACAGTGACTTCCTTCTTATTAATAATACCTTCCTCACTTGGGGTTTGAAGTTTCCTAGTTAGTACAATGAGATCATACATTCTTGGCAGAACCTTCTTCCAGTTCTTAAAACTCACTTTTTTCCAGGAAGACAATCACTCACTGTCAAGAGCCCTTGGTCCTTCCTCCTTCGGCCTTCTTGTTTTTATTAGTCTGCTTTTTCATTGAGGTATAAGTTGCTATTGACAAAAGGAACAGCCCCTGTAGGCATAGTCGGAAAGCTTTGACAGTGAATAACCGTGTCCTATTGAGAAAGTGACGTCTGTACTTGAAGCAAGCTATTTCGGTCACAGTCCACTCTGAGACCAACGATTCCCAGCCTACACACCCTCTCCTGCTTTGGACTCTATGACAGGTGCTCTCCTCTACTTGCTAAATGGGTTGCTGCGTGATTCATGTATCACTTAATGAAACCAGTTAGATCTTTAATATTAAAAGGAAAATAGAGCTTTGTGCTATCAGTGAGGGGCCACATATTGAGAACCAAATCTTTCCTTTAGTGCTTGTCACTGGTCCTTCTGCACTGCAATATTGGGATGGACAATGCAAGCCAAAAACACCAGAAATTCCTGTCAGTTGCTCAAATCATGAGATGCTCTGCTTGGTCAAGGAAGGGGTGGACCTGGAGTCTCAACTAATGAATCAAAATTCTTGGTAACTCTGGACCTCCCCTGGTGGCGCAGCAGTTGAGCGCTGGGCTGCAAAGCTTCCCGCAGCCTCTGCAGCACCAGTTTGATCCCTGGCCACAGGTGAGGGTCCCACATGGTGCGACAGACCTCTCCTGCCGTACCCGCTGCTCCCCTCAGCAGTGTACTTTGTCAGTCTGCCTGTTCTGTTCCCCGCTCTGGCTCTGGTGAATTCTCTCACCCTCCTGTGCTTCTGACTGTACCCAGTGCTTGTATAAATAAATAAATCTTCAAAAAAAAAAAAAAGAATTCTTGGTAACTCTAGCAGTGGATCAATTTTAGTTTGTGGAATCCAAAATTTGGTGACCCTTAAAAACTAACTTGGGAGGGTGCTGGCTAGTAGCTCTTATATAACTGAACTCTGTGGACTTGCAGGTGGTGTGTGCAAGGAATCTGAGGACAAAGGTGAGGAGCTGGGTCAGTACGCCACTGACTTTCAGTCTGAGCTGAGAGTCATGAACCTCCAGGGCCTGAGCTTGGGGCTGTACACATGCGCATGAAGGGATACACATCAGGTATATTTTCTTCTAGATGAAATGTACTGTTTCTCTAATTAAACTTTTTAAAATGAGAATTACATTATGAATCAAATTTTGATCATTTCTAATCATTAGTGCTTTGCCATTCATGACCATTTTTTTTTTTCTGCTGTCCCCTCTAAAACAAACGCCTGTTGCCTTTCACTATGATAGACATGGACTATATATCCCAAACACCCAGGATGCCTGTGGTTTTCTTTGTTTTCCAAAATTCAGTTGGGATCAACCTAAGCCCTCTCTACCAAAACCA